ATTTATAGTGATATCTTATAACATCAGGTTATTGACTGTTACTAAGTTTGGTTAGTACAAAATTGGAGTGTACAGTCATAATCATCCTTGTCCAAGTTTACTATTGGCTTGTGGTTTGTGTAGGATACTTTTATTTTTATTCTTCTTAAATTCTTAAAGCTATTTCACTTTCTGTTGTTTTATATTTTCGTGACTTGGAAACAGAAGAAGAACATTGAGATCAGAACTTCTGGAAAGATTGGTCCAGGCACAACAGGTAAATTTCTATTAGAAATTTCCTAATTGTAGAAGTACAGATGTTTTATTCATACTGAGAATAATCTAATTGTAGTGATGTTTATACAATCTTATAATTGTAGCTGATGCTAGTTTATAAACTTAGATAAATCTCTAATATTTCAGAACTGTTAATAGCATTTTAGCTTTCTCTGTGCAGTTGTGTTTGTCCTCTGTTGTGTGAAAAACCTCTTCATTTTCCTAGTCTTTTCAAATTAGCTTTTTCCATTTCTAATTGTTTTCTTAAATTAGACAGTTCTCTCTGTTATTCTCTGTTGGGATGAAAATTAAGTCTTGTTCCCTGTTTTCATTCCATGTCTATTCTTATAGTTGTTATTATACTTCAATAGACTAACCTCCTTTTGCAAGGTATCAGAACGTTTTTTTCCTCACCTCTAGTTTCCCTAAGTATTTGCAAATAACTTTCCTTCCTTTACAGTGTACACTTTTGCTTTTTTTGCAGATACCATTTTCCATAAATCTGAGGCAGCGTGAGAAAAAATTAGGGTTCTATGAGACCTTCCATGGAAGGAATATTAGCATCCAGGTGGGTTATTTATCTCACACAGTGAAAAACTTCACTTTGGACCCTTGCAATGAGACGTTGGGGGGATCCTCACTTTTTCCCATCTCATGCCCTATAAATGTTTTCCAAACATTGACGATTAATGAATCCTATTTTATTATTATACTGTAGAGTAATGCGGGGATACCTACATAAATCGTTATCTGCAACGCTGGAATTCATTGTTGAAACTGATAAAGGTATGGACTTATATTTATTTTTAAAAGATTTTGAGAAATTTTATATAATTCAACAATATGGCTTTGTCTTTCCTGTTGTTATGCTTTCAGCTGATATTCTTCAGAGACCGATTTCTCCTGAGATGGTTGTCTTTTACATTACTCAGGATACTCAGAAACATACTTCCCTGACTAAAAACAGTCTGCTTGATCCATCTTCTGCACAACACTGTTGGTGACTTTTGATTTTAATTTAAATCTTTGAAGTAACCTTTCTAATCTAAATTGGAATTATGTTCTCTACAACTTTTATTGGAGATTGCATCAATGGATTCCAGCGCATGCATTTTGATGTCTTATTGATGCGGTCTTCTAAAATTTTAGAATTGGGTTCGTATGATAATGACATGATTCTGGAACTGACAAGATGTATGGTTAAAAAGGTGGCTTTAAGGTGACAGAAAAGTGTCAACTCAATGTTCTTTGTGGATCCTATCAATGGAGAGCTAACAGTAAGCATCTTCATTTCCTATTCAATCTATGACTTGCACTTGCTCCAAGTAGAGTCAATCTTCTGGGGAAAAAATTGTACTGAAACATCCTTGATACAACAACACAGGTTTGCCACATTCCAGTCTTTTCAGAAATTTTTAACTATTAATGTTTATTTAGCCATCCTTGTTTTTGTATTTATACTAGATAGCAGATGGAGATGTTTCGTAAAATGACTCTGCCTATCTATGTGATACTCCCCCTCTTCTGACATGTCCAACTGTTTTTGCTGGGTGAGTTGCTAGTTTACATGGACTTATCCTTGATATTATTCTTATATGTGGTAATGATGCTGAAATACATAATATGCTCTTTTTTTTTTTCTCTATCCTCTATATTCAACTTGTTCAACTATTTTTATTAGTTACATTTGACATAGATATTTCCTCTATATGCTTGTTTGTTTTCATAAATAATTGGTGTTTATTTACTGAATGAATGAAACCCTTAGTTATTTGTGTTGTCTACTTGATGAATTTCTTTCTTGCTATTTTCTACTTAGCTGAAAACCAACAAAGCATCATTCAATTTGAAGTACTTATGTGATGTTCTGCGCAATAGCTAATTAGATGTCTGTTTTTCAGGTCAAGCTAGCATTAGTTTTATTTCCTGTTTAACGTTACCTTTCTGCTAAGCCTTTTATATGTTTTCTATTCTATTGGTGCTAGTGAAATGTTAACCTTCTGCATGTATCATCACAAATTTTTATTTCCTCATAGAATGGTGGTATTTCAACACTCCACTTGTAAGTTTGAGTTGGTGTTTTCTTTGTAATGTATTTGAGTCCATTTTCGTCGAGTTCAAAATTTGCTAGTTATCACCTTTCAGTCTGAGCTCGCCAAATACATACAAAGTCTGATCCTACAACTCCAAGACTTGGGTAAGCTTCTTTAAGTATTTACGATAGATGGAACTACTTATAGCACTGAAACTTCACAAATTTCAGCTGGCCATGAGACTCTACCGCTTGAACTTGTCCGAGCAAAGTGAGACGATTGTGCTAAGCAAGGTCAAAGCTATCTATCATAAAACTTATTAAACTACCATCCTAAACGGCTAAGGGCACGATGCAAATCCATTTCTGTTGTGCATTGTCTGGAAATTCGTCCAGAATTCAGTTTGTGTGTAGATGAAGAGTGTTGAAACTTCAATGTGCATGTAATTCCCAAATTACAAATGGGAACGTCATGTAAGTCATACAAAAATTGAATGTATTAGAATCCTGAATTCAAGAAAAGAACGTAATAGGTTTTGTATTTTTAGTTTATAAAATATAGAATTTGTTTGTAAGAACTTGATTTATATATTGCATTGTTAATTCAATCATCTACGCTGAAAAAAGATCTTTGAAATGAAGATTATCATAACTACTTTAAGTTTTCAAATTCATCATTTGATAACTTTATACTTTTTATCATAATATCTTTGAAGTTTGAACTATATTGTAGTTAACGTAGATGAGTTAATGATAACTTTGGTCTCTCTATTTGTTTTTAGAAAATATTTTACAAATCAACACCTGATAGGGTTAGGACAAAAGATATTTGTGTCAAATTTTTGAACTTTGAAGTATCCATCTAATAATTTGATAAACGAAAGAGAGATCCATGAAAATTTCAAAATTTGAGGATAATCTACAATAAAAAAAAAAAAAAAAAAAAAAAGCAAAAATTATCATAAAAAACCTTCAAGGATAATCTTCCTACTTGAAATTGGTTGCTGCTAAATGACTTATTTGATGTGATTCAAACAATTATACACCAGTCAACTAGAGGACTTTAAGGATAATCTTCCTACTTGAAATTGGTTTGCACTAAAATTGACTATTTTTGATGTGATTAAACAATATACAAACCAGGTCAACTAGAGGCTTTTCTTTCCCTTTTTTCAATCAGAAATATTGGAAATGAATCAGAATTTTGCAGAAGTCTAAAGGCTCGTGTCACACTTTCAAACAACACCCTTAGGCCCTTGGGAATTTTAATTTTTGATAATAGGCAACCCATCTCTACCAATCCACCAAGTTTATTTATGCAATAAATGTCTGTACTAATATTTTAAGTTTTGATCATTGAAAATATCTCTTATTCCACCGTTGGCAAACCCAAAACAGACCTTTATTTCAAAATCGACACTTCAAGAGAAACTACTTCACTCAACCGAAAACCCATACACATGAATTTTTGTATGTCTCGCCTGGTCGAACCACAACAGATGGGAAGTTATATTGGTTTATGGCATTAGGAAATCCCTGCGTCTCTAAGCAGACACCGCATGCTTTCCATAAACTGCACCTCCTTTCCCGACGACCCATCGACTAGTTTCCCGGTGTAAAACTGCATCCCAGGGGCATTGGTCCACAGGTTAAGGACCCTTGAGGATGACGGGTCCTCAGTTTTACAGCAGCTTCAACCCTGATTTCTCTTCCCCACAATCAAGCACATAGTTGTGGTCATACCCTAAACCCACTTCATGGATTGATCACCGACTTCTTCTCAGAGTGAAATCAAAAGGTTCCTTTGACTGGCTTAATTTCACCGTTGGGACAGTGTTCTCATCTACGGAGTAATGTGCTGCCCCCAAATCTGAATTGAGTGCTCAATACGTTCCCAGAGTTGTGGCCTGCTAAGTTCCAGTAGGTGTGTTGAGCTAAGCTGATTGGAGTTGGCTTATTCTCCGGAACTGCTTCCATGTCAAGTCTCAACGTGTTTTTGAAGTAAGTGTGTAAGTTGCAGTCACCAGACACATCTCCTGGTAACCTATTACCGGCAAAACAGAAGAATTAGAGATGAAAAATGAGAGAGAGGGAACAGGGAGAACAGAGAGAGAGAGAGAGAGAGAGAATGACCTTCTTCCCCATCCACTAGATCTTAAAAGTAATAGATGGGTTTTCACCATTCTTTTGTTCTGCTACCTTCCATATCACTTATCATAACCCTTGAAACCGCTAAAGAAAAAAAAGACAGAAGAATTTATCAGGGAAATAAATTTGCAAAAATTAAAATACATTCTGCCCAGTCCTCAGAAGCCACTACTATTATGTTCTTCTAAGATAAGTTCCCAACGATTGATTTGCAATGGCATTTTTCAGTTGGATAAGTGTCTGTTGTCTTAGATCGACAAGGAGTTATACTTATTAATTTAACAACAACTTGATATTGATAAAGTTGAAAAAGAATGGGGTATCTTCTTCAAGTTGATAATAGGATAATTCTTCACTACGTTGGAAAGCAAACTTTTAGTACCTGGTTTGTAGAGTTACAGATGCAATATTCTGCAGTTTATATTTTCTCTAAGTGCTGTGGCTATATATAATGCCACAAAGCAATATGGAAAAGTGCTGGTAAAGTTCCCACCTGCCAGAAAACAGAAGAAAGCTTTTGCTGGACTACAAAAGTTTAATACTGACCTAAACAACACAAGATTTTTCAACAAATCAATGCACTAGAAAACTCAAAATGTACAAAAATCACTACAGAAGCAAATGAACATACTTTGGTGTAGTTCTTCTTTTCCACTCCATAGCCCTTGACATACAAATACCCCATTCCATTATACGCCGAATAAAGCTGCTGTCTGGAAGCAAGTGTCAGCCATTCAAGTGCCTTAGTGTAGTTCCTTTCAACACCAGCTCCTCTTGCATATATCTCTCCAAGAAATTCCATGGACTGGGGTTCACCCCTATCCGCAGCCTTTGAAAACCATGCCAATGCCTTGGCACGATCACGCCTCAATCCTCTCAATCCAAAGTAATAGAACAACCCAACTTTGTACATTGCCCCGACATTCCCTTTCTGCGCCTGATACTCTAAAATCTGAAAGGCCTCGTCGTCCTCCCCTCGAGACTTCCTTAATGCCCCCTTATTCTCTTCAGCTCCATTATGAATCCTAACTGGTTCAATCACCGGTGAATCCTTTGAAATCAAAAAACTATTCACTGCTATCTCAGCTAATTCAGCATATAATTTAACCGCATTCTCATGCATCTGCGACCAGAAAGAAAAATTATCAAAACAAAGATCATTCATCACAAAAAAATAAATCCAAATTCTTTCTTATTTCAATTCTAGAGCTTGAACAAGCTTAAAAAATATAAGGAAAAAAAAAAAAAAAACTCGAACGGCACAAAGAATTCCACTCACATCTTGACGCAAATACGTGTATGCTAAAGCCATCTTCGATTGAATGTTACCACCTTCAGCAGCAAAATGATGATACATAAAAGCCTTGGCCTTGTTCCGCTCTCGCATCATCCCCATTCCGTACAAAAACGCCAAGACCGACCGAGCGTGTGGTTCACCTTCATCAGCCGCCGCTTCAATCTCGGCCGTGGCCTCCCGCATCTTCCGCTTGTCGCCGTCACTGACAGCCGACATCATCTTTGCGACGGTGGAATAGTAGCTCCGATTCAGCGCGTCCGGGTCCATCGAAGGCTCGAAGATGGGGTTCCAGGAACCCGGATCGAGATTCTCCTCGGGCTCCGTCTCAGAGTCGCCGAAGTCGTCCCAGTCGGCCGAGTCGTCATCCTGAGGAGACGGCGGCGTGTCCTTGATGTCGTCCTGTGAAAGGACGAGAATGAAGGGCCGCGCGTAGAGGGAAAGAGGATACAGAGTGAGAATCAGAAGAGTAAAGATTAGTTTTCTTGAGATGAGTCGCATTTTTTCCTTTTTTTTTTTTGGGGAGGGCTGCTCAAGTGGAAGAAGAAAAAGGAGGAAGAAGATGGGTGCCGCTGAAATCGGGGATTTTTGGGGAAGAAGAAGGTTCAGGTAGGGGTAGATTTGGTATTTCAATGCCACGTAAAGTTTTGTCATCTGACCAGTTATATTTTGCCACGTGTTAATGTCACTTAAATTTTTTAATCCTCCAAGGTTTGTTTAGATCTCAAAGACACCCCCTGGTTTACTTTTCGACTTTTCGTTACAAGTTTCCAGGGGTCTTATTGTATCTTTTAAACAATAGTGGGAGTGGTTAGGATTTAAAACCCCATCTGTACTGTAAGGTGATTTTACTAAAATTAAAAGAGGGCTAAATTGTCAGAATTCAATCCATATAGAACTGAATTTGAAAAAGTTCATCTTCTTCCGCAGTTGAAAATGCCCAGCATAGAGCTGAAGCTCTCCCGATTCAATCGTATATATCAACCATCTGTACGCGCTCTTCCTCTCTCTATATCTCCGCTTCTTTTTTTTTTTTTTTTTTTAAAAAAAAAAATAATTTATTTATAGTTTTTAAGCTTAGTTATATAATGCTGCTGCTGTAATACGATATCAGGATTTTCTGGAGGGCAAAATCTTAATAAGGTCATCTTCCTCCATTTCTCACTATGGGATTGTCCTCACCCTCAATGGATCGGTCAACTTGCAGGTAGGCTTTCTTTCATTTTAGAAAAGTTTCAGCTACGTTTCTTTGAGTATTCAAAATTGCACTGTTTAATTTTCTCGGAAACCAAACGGAACCGAGCCTAAGCTAATTTTGATATTCACTGTTGTTTTTTGAAGGTTCGTGGAGGATCAGCTGGTGTCATCGAGTCTTTCTATGGTGTTGTGAAGCCTATTCCAATTGTGTAAGTTCAAAGTTTCTTTTTTTATTGTTGAATTGTGCTTCATTCATGGTTTGCCAGTAGCACTTGTAAAATTCCAGTATATGTTATGATTTGATTACATCGCTGAAACTAACCAACTAGTTAGAAGTGGTAATTTCATGCTTCCAGAGCCTTAAGAAAACCAAAGACACATAATTAATCAGGCGTAGCAAATTGCCGAATTGTCACAAACCTTTTTAACGTTCTAGTAGTTACATTTCGTGTGTGTTACGTGTGCTTATGAGGCGTTGTTTCCGAGGACTGTCATCGTTGATTTCAGCATCATGGTTTCACTACAGATCACCCTTTTGTTATTAACCATGGTTTCTGAGGTCTTTCAACTGGAAAACTCTGAATTTTCATTATTTATGTGTCCAAGGATTGTAGCAACTGTCAACAATTTGCTTCTGTGAATTTGAATTTTCATTCAATTTGTTGAAGCTTCTTTTTAACATTTTAATTCAGTAATTTCTTACAACCATCAGACTCACCAGGCCTATGATCTTGGATAAACTTAAGGACTTCTCAATGGTCCTGTATCTATTATATTTTTGAGAGAAAGGAAGCTTGAGACTACTGAAACTTTTGGATTTGGAGTTGGTTATCTTTGGTCTCTTAGAGATGTAGGAATAGACTCTGATCCTGAGTAGGATTAGCATTAAAGCAAGCTCTAATCTAGGAAATTTGGTGTTGATTGATGTGGCTTCACTCTTTTATTTTTCTTTTTGTATGTTGCTGGTCAAACTTGAACAGAACTGAAACTTTCCTGTCTAAGCTGGAGTACTTTTGGGTAGTAAAAATGTGTAATAATGATTGAACTGGAGCAAACTTGCTCCATATTCTGTACCTTTCTATGTGGCTGGACTGTGGGCTGATTTATAGTGTATATCTTATAACATCAGGTTATTGACTGTTACTAAGTTTGGTTAGTACAAAATTGGAGTGCTACAGTCATAATCATTCTTGTCCAAGTTTACTATTGGCTTTGTGTTTGTGTAGGATAACTTTTATTTTTATTCTTCTTAAATTCTTTAAAGCTATTTCATCTTTCTGTTGTTTTATATTTTCGTGACTTGGAAACAGGAAGAAGAACATTGAGATCAGAACTTCTGGGAAGATTGGTCCAGGCACAGCAGAGGTAGAATTTCTATTAGAAATTTCCTAATTGTAGAAGTACAGATGTTTTATTCATACTGAGAATAATCTAATTGTACGATGTTTATACAATCTTATAATTGTAGCTGATGCTAGTTTATAAAACTTAGATTAAATCTCTAATATTTCAGAACTGTTAATACGCATTTTAGCTTTCTCTGTGCAGTTGTGTATGTCCTCTGTTGTGTGAAAAACCTCTTCATTTTCCTAGTCTTTTCAAATTAGCTTTTCCCATTTCTAATTGTTTTCTTAAATTAGACAGTTCTCTCTGTTAATTCTCTGTTGGGATGAGAATTAAGTCTTGTTCACTCTGTTTTCAGTCCATGTCTATTCTTAATAGTTGTTATTATACTTCAATAGACTTTAACCTCCTTTTGCAAGGCATCAGAACAGTTTTTTTCCTCACCTCTAGTTTCCCTTAAGTATTTGCAAAATAACTATTCCTTCCTTTACAGTGTATACATTTTGCTTATTTTGCAGATACCATTTTCCATAAATCTGAGGCAGCGTGGAGAAGAAAATTTAGAGAGGTTCTATGAGACCTTCCATGGAAGGAATATTAGCATCCAGGTGAGGTTATTTGATCTCACACAAGTGAAAAACTTCACTTTGGACCCTTGCAATGAGACAGTTTTGGGGGGATCCTCACTTTTTCCCATCTCATGCCCTATAAATGTTTTGCCAAACATTGACGATTAATGAATCCTATGTTAGTATTTGATAACTGTAGATGTAATGCGGGGATACCTACATAAATCGTTATCTGCAACGCTGGAATTCATTGTTGAAACTGATAAAGGTATGGACTTATATTTACTTTTAAAAAGATTTTGAGAAATGTTTTATATAATTCAACAATATGGACTTTGTTCTTCCTGTTGTTATGCTTTCAGCTGATATTCTTCAGAGACCGATTTCTCCTGAGATGGTTGTCTTTTACATTACTCAGGATACTCAGAAACACCCGTTACTTCCTGAACTAAAAACAGGTCTGCTTTTGATCCCATCTTCTGCACACACACTGTTTGATGACTTTTGATTTTAATTTAAATCTTTGAAGTAACCTTTCTAATCATAAATTGGAATATATGTTCTCTACAACTTTTATTGGAGACTGCATCATATGGAATTCCAGATGCAATGCATTTTGATGTCTTATTGATGCGGTCTTCTAAAATTTTAGAATTAGGTTCGTATGATAATGACATGATTCTGGAACTGACAAGATGTATGGTTAAAAAGGTGGCTTTAAGGTGACAGGAAAAGTGTCAACTCAATGTTCTTTGGTGGATTCTATCAATGGAGAGCTAACAGTAGAAGCATCTTCAGTTCCTATTCAATCTATTGACTTGCACTTGCTCCAAGTAGAGTCAATTCTTCTCGGGGAAAAAATTGTAACTGAAACATCCTTGATACAAACAACACAGGTTTGCCACATTCCATGTCTTTTCAGAAATGTTTTAACTTATGTAATGTTTATTTGACATCCTTGTTGTCGTATTGTATACTAGATAGCAGATGGAGATGTTTGTCATAAAATGACTCTGCCTATCTATGTGATACTCCCCCGTCTTCTGACATGTCCAACTGTTTTTGCTGGGTGAGTTGCTAGTTTAACATGGACTTATCCTTTGATATTATTCTTATATGTTGTAATGATAGCTGAAATACATAATATGGCTCTTTTTTTTTTTTTCTTATCCTCTGTATTTCAACTTGTTCAACTGTTTTACCTAAGTTACAATTTGACATAGATATTTCCTCTATATGCTTGTTTGTTTTCATAAATAATTCGGTGTTTATTTACTGAATGAATGAAAGCCCTTAGTTAATTTGGTGTCGTCTACTTGATGAATTTTCTCTTGCTATTTTCTACTTAGCTGAAAACCAACAAAGCATCATTCAATTTGAAGTACTTATGTGATGTTCTGCAGCAATAGCTAATTAGATGTCTGTTTTTCAGGTCAAGCTAGCCATTACGTTTTATTTCCCTGTTTAACGTTACCCTTTCTGCTAAGCCTTTTATATTGTTTCTATTGCTATTGGTTGCTGATGAAATGTTAACCTTCTGCATGTTGTCACATCACAATTTTTATTTCCTCATAGCAATGGTGGTATTATTCAAACTCCACATTTGTAATGGTTTGAGTTGGTGTTTTCCTTTGTAAATGCTATTTGCAGTCCATTTTCGATCGAGTTCAAAATTTGCTTAGTTATCACCTTTCAGTCTGAGCTCGCCAAATTACATACAAAGTCTGATCCTACAACTCCAAGACTTTGGGTAAGCATTCTTTAAAGTATTTACGATAGATGGAAACTACTTATAGCTACTGAAACTTCACAAATTTCAGCTGGCCATGGAGACTCTACCACTTGAACTTGTCCGAGCAAAGTGAGACGATCTGTGCTAAGCAAGGTCAAAGCTATCTATTCATAAAACTTATTAAAACTACCATCCTAAACAGGCATAAGGGCACAATGCAAATCCATTTCTGTTGTGCATTGTTCTGGAAATTCGTTTCCAGAATCGCAGTTTGTGTGTAAGCTGAAAGAATGTTGAAACTTCAATGTGCATGTAATTCCCAAATTACAAATGGGAACGTCATGTAAGTCGATATGAAAATTGAATGTATTAGAATCCTGAATATCAAGAAAAGAACGTAATAGGTTTTGATACTTTTTCTAGTTTAATAAAATATAGAATTTGTTTGTAAGAACTTGATTTTATATACTGCATTGTTAATTCCAACCATCGACTACTGAAAAAAAGATCTTTGAAATCGGAGATTATCATAGACTATCTTTAAGGTTTCCAAATTCATCATTCGAATGACAACTTTGATACTTTTTATCATAAACTATCTTTGAAGTTTGAAACTATATTGTAGTTTACGGTAGATGAGTTAAATGATAACTTTGGTCTTCTCTAACTTGTTTTATAAGAAAATATTTTACAAATCAACAACCTGATAGGGTTAGTGCAAAAAGATATTTGTGATCAAATTTTTGAACTTTGAAGATCCTTCTAATAACATTTGATAATAGAAAGAGGTATGCATGATACAATTTCAAATTTCGAGGATAATCTACAATAAAAAAAAATGCAAAAATTATCATCAAAAACCTTTAAGGATAATCTTCCTACTTGAAATTGGTTGCGTTATTTTGATGTGATTCAAATAAAAATTATTACAAACCAGGTCAACTAGAGGCTTTTCTTTCCCCTTTTTCAATCAGAAATATTGGAAATGAATCAGAATTTTGAAGTATAAAGAGCTCGTGTCACACTTTCAAAACAAACAACCCTTAGGAGTTAGGCCCTTGGGAATTTTAATTTTTGATAATAGGCAACCCATCTCTACCAAGTCCACCAAGTTTATTTATGCATATAAATGTCAGTGTACTAAATATTTTAAGTTTTGATCATTGAAAATACTCTCTTATTCACCGTTGGCAAACCCAAAACAGACCTTTATTTCAAAATCGACACTTCAAGAGAATACTACTTCACTCAACTGAAAACTCATACAACATTGAATGTTTGTATGTCTCGCCCGGTCGAACCACAACAGATGGGAAGTTAGATTGGTTTATGGCATTAGGAAATCCCTGCGTCTCTAAGCAGACACCGGCATGCTTTCCATAAACTACACCTTCTTTTCCGACGACTCCATTGACATAGTTCCCGGTGTAAAACTGCATCCCAGGGGCATTGGTCCACAGGTTAAGGACCCTTGAGGATGACGGCTCCTTCAGTTTTACAGCATGCTTCAACCCTGATTTCTCTTCCCCACAATCAAGCACATAGTTGTGGTCATACCCTAAACCCACTTCATGGATTGATGCACCGATCTTCTTCTCAGAGGTGAAATCAAAAGGGGTTCCTTTGACTGGCTTAATTTCACCGGTTGGGACAGTGTTCTCATCTACGGGAGTAATGTGCTGCCCCCAAATCTGAATTGAGTGCTCAAGTACGTTCCCAGAGTTGTGGCCTGCTAAGTTCCAGTAGGTGTGTTGAGCTAAGCTGATTGGAGTTGGCTTATTCTCCGGAACTGCTTCCATGTCAAGTCTCAACGTCGTTTTTGAAGTAAGTGTGTAAGTTGCAGTCACAGACACATCTCCTGGGTAACCTATTACCAGGCGAAACAGAAGAATTAGAGATGGAAAAATGAGAGAAGAGGGGAACAGGGAGAACGAGACAGAGAGAGAGCGAACCTTCTTCCCCATCACCACTATGATACTTAAAAGTAATAGATGGGTTTTCACCATTCTTTTGTTCTGCTACCTTCCATATCACTTTATCATAACCCTTGAAACCGCCTAAAGGAAAGAAAAGACAGAAGAATTTATCAAGGAAATAAATTTGCAAAAATTCAAATACATTCTAGTGCATAAAGATATCATACATCTGCCCAGTCCTCAGAAGCCACTACTATTATGTTCTTCTAAGATAAGCTCCCAACGATTGATTTGCAATGGCATTTTTCAGTTGGATAAGTGTCTGTGTGTCTTAGATCAGACAAGGAGGGTATACTTATTAATTTAACAACAACTTGATATTGATAAAGTTGATAAAGGAATGGGGTATCTTCTTCAAGTTGATAATNCAAAATCATTGGTAATTATTTAGGCATCTTTTTAAGTGCAAAAATAAACTTATTTTGGTTCCATTCCAACTCAGCTCCACGTCGATAATGAACATAACCTTACCTTATTGTTTACAATGTTACGGGAAACACTATCAAAAACTTGATTTCAAAGATTATATTGAGTCAATAACATTATCGATTCGATAATACAACCTGAATTTATTGTTATATATTTATTTGTTCAATATCAAATTATCACCGTACTTTGTCCCCAAGAAAAGAAAACAAGTTTCACTTGCATCCCAAGTATAGATATCCAATAGTTTAAGTATTCCATATTAAATAACATTAATACTATAGTATATATTTAACATTAAATTATATTTTATACTAAGCTTTGCGTTTCAAATTGTAGTACTTTCTATTGCAAAACAAACAAAAAATGGTGCGTTTAAAGCTTCAGAAAATGCAAGTGTTCTCAACTGTGGTAAGGGGAGAGTGTGACATAAGGCTTACGTTTAATGATAAATGAAAACTTGCAATTGCAGGAATGAACAACAAGTGCTTAGGAAATTGCTTTTCAAGTACAGGGAGCTCCAAAAGATTGATAAGCACCTGCATCATAAGCTCTACTTGAAGGTCAAGGGAAGTGCTTTTAAGAACAAAAGGGTGCTTTTGGAGAGTATTCATAAGTTAAAAGAGTGAAAAATGTAAGAGAGAAACAGCTTTTTCATCATCAATTTGTGACCAAATCTACCTTATTCAACCTTAATTAGTTTTCACACAATACTCTTATTAAGTTCCTGGTACAAAACTGCATAGAGTTTAAGATAATTAAAGGAATCAGAATTCAGGTGGGCAACAACAAATTGAAATAAGCAAACAAAAACACTTAAAAATAATATAAAGGATTAAATACGTGAAGAGTTATGATCGAAGGATGCTACATGGAAAATAAAAAGAGAAAATACTATCCTATACATTCACAGCATTGAAGATGGTTTTTACAGTCAAGTGCAGCAATATTTTATCATTTCAGCTTCTTGTTGACTTTTGCAGAGGAAATTGAGGAAGCAACTCCAAACATTCACGATAATTTTCATGCTTTACAAGCAGATCTACGACTGTGGACAATGTTGATTCATCTGGTATCACATTTCTGTCATTCATTTTGTGCAGAAGTTCAACCACTTTAGCTGCGTCATTATTTTGCAAAAAGCCTCGCATAAGAGTATTGAATGTAACAGCATTTGGAGCACAACCTTTTTTTTCCATATCAAATAACAAATCATATGCCTTTTGTAGTTTCCCCTCTTTACAAAACCCATTGATTAAGATGGTATATGTCATAACGTCTGGCATTAGGCCTTTTTGAGGCAATTTGTGAAATATCTCCCAAGCAATTTCGATCATTCCATTTTTACACAACCCATCAATGAGGCTGCTATAGATTTCAATACTAAGTTTAAACTCATAGTACTCCAAAGTACGAAACCATTTTGCTGCCTCCAGAACACAGCCATTCTTGCATAGCCCATCAATCAAAATACCATATGTACGNTTGTTATATATTTATTTGTTCAATATCAAATTATCACCGTACTTTGTCCCCAAGAAAAGAAAACAAGTTTCACTTGCATCCCAAGTATAGATATCCAAGGCTTCGTTTGGTTCAAAATTTTGGGTTTTTGGGAAAAGTTTTTTGAAAAAAGTTAAAAAAAACTTGAATTGGACGGGTATTACGATGTAAGATTTATAAATTATAAAATACCCCTTATGTTTGTTTTTTTACAAAATACCCCCTATAATAAAACATTAAGAGTTAACAAAAACACCCCTCACCCATCCTCAAATACCGACAGCCGGCCACCACCACCGGAGGGTGGCCGGAGTCGCCGTATCGGCGCATGACTAGCTGGATCTTGCCAGTCGTGAGCCGATATAACTTTTTCCGGCCAGATCTGGCCGTATTTGCTTGTCAACGACGGCCAACAAACGGTCTTCATTGACCATCAACAACGACCATTTGTTGGCCGTCGTAACAGACTGTTACTTCCAGATCTTTGGCCTTAGATCTGGCCTTTTCCGACCAGATCCACCGTGGATCTGGCTGGAAAATGCTAGATCGGCGCACTACCGGCCAGATTCAGCTGGTAGTGCGCCATCCTACCAGATTCCGGCCATTTTCCGACGGTGGTGGCCGAAATCTGGTAATTGTGGATTACTAGGGTGTTTTTACAATTTTTTAAAAAATATTTAAGGGTATTTAATTAAATTAACAAATTTAAGGGGTTTAAAAAAAATTGAATAATATTGAGAGTAGTATTCCCAAAAACTCTGGTTTTTGGGTATTTTATTATTTAACTTTTTTGGGAATACTAAAAATAGTATTCCCAATTGGCAACCAAACGAAGCCCAATATTTTAAGTATTCCATATTAAATAACATTAACACTATAGTATATATTTAACATTAAATTATATTTTATACTAAGCTTTGCGTTTCAAATTGTAATACTTTCTATTGCAAAACAAACAAAAAATGGTGTGTTTAAAGCTTCAGAAAATGCAAGTGTTCTCAACTGTGGTAAGGGGAGAGTGTGATCCTAATGAGGCCAATCACATCTCCTTCTCCATAAGGCTTACGTTTAATGATAAATGAAAACTTGCAATTGCAGGAATGAACAACAAGTGCTTAGGAAATTGCTTTTCAAGTACAGGGAGCTCCAAAAGATTGATAAGCACCTGCACCATAAGCTCTACTTGAAGGTCAAGGGAAGTGCTTTTAAGAACAAANAAAAAAAAAAAAAAACTTTTTTTTAACCATCATTAAGTGACTCAACGGTTAATTAGGACTTTTAAGTATATTACTCAATAGGGGTGGTCATTGAAGAGATTTTCCTAAGAGATTATTTGAGATATGTATAAGCTGACTCAA